TCCCACTCTTCTCTTGAACTGCTCTGCCTCTTTTGCCTTTAGGTTCTGTCCCTCATTGGCAGTTACAACACTGCCCACTGCAGTATCAGCCAGTAGATATAGCGAACAGCTGCCTTTACCCTCGACCCAGATTATTAACGTTGATCAGACCTCATAGTGCTGAGCATGGCAAAGGGTTGGGAGGAGAGTGGGCAGTTCAGGCATGGACGGGAGAGGACTGGAGAATGCAGAAGACAGGAGAAGGAAGTACAGGGCGTAAGTGTGGGAAACACCAACATCGTAATGCTGGCCCGGCTTATTCCTTGTGGATCCCTGCAACAAGTCAGAATGAACGCCTACTTTTGAAATGATGCCTTATCTGATCAACTCTCCATTAGACACAAACAGCTCTGAACGCATGCTACAATGATTACTTATTACTTTGGGAAGCTGGAGCTTTTTCAGAACCAGGGAGTTAAACTAGCTGTGTTACAAAAGTGCAACCTCTTCCCCGCCTTTCCCCGCCCCTACAAAATATTCCCCTGGAATATTTGCTAATGCTCAATGCAGATAAAACAGGTCACCTCAAAGAACACAGACAAACAAACAGATTTACTGGGACATAGTAAGGCAGATGGTAGATGTACCGTAAAATATGACAAAAAGAGAGGATGCTCTTTTAAAAAGTAATTTCCCAGGCAAATTTACAAGCAAACAGCATTTCAGAGGCTAAAAAAAGAGCAAGCACTTATGCAATGGGCCTCACAGGTTTGGAGTAGTGTTCCCTTATGACAATGAACTATTTAGACTAATAGTGTAATTACCATGGTACATCCTAGGGAATTATGCAAATGTACAAAAAGCGTGCATAAATAATTAGATTATGCAAAACCAGCTGCAGAGAAATTTTTCATTTAAAATTTTTAAACTTTCATATCAAGCAAAATGATGTGCAGCTGGGTGGAGAAGAGTTAACTTTTTCCCCCCAAGTAAATGTTTGGTGTTTAGAAAAAGAGACTGCACAGCAAGATTAGGTGAGCGAGAAAGTGCGTGGTGAACGCACTAGCATAGGACTCAGTCAGTTCAGGGCTTAGCTCTGCCACAGATTGCAGGTGTGACCCTGGGAAATTCACTTAGTCTCTCTGTAAAATGGGGATAAGATCCCTCTTCTATTTCCTGAAGTGTTGTGAGGATAAATACACTCCAGAAGTAGAGGTGCTCAGACATGATAGTAACAGGAGCCGTGTAACTACCATATAGATGGTAGAAAGGAAGTGTCACCTTGGGAATAGTGAAACTGAAATATATCTAGGAAAAACGTAAACAGAATGAATCTCTCTCTTTCATCAAACAGACCATTCGGCAGGCAGCAAGCAGGCCCCAGTCCTCCCTCCTGGGGGACGGCAGAGCAGAGACTCTGTCACCTTCCAGCACAGGACGTGAGCCAAACATCCCCAACCAGGGATGTGGGTGTGGCTGCCATTCCCCCTCACACTTCACAGCTGCAAGCCGGCATGGCCTGCCAGCTAGGAAGAGGGTCTCCAGTGCCCACTGTGTGCCCTGCTAAATGTACACACTGCTAGACAAAACCCTAAGGTAGCCAGAAGGGTATGCCTAAGGGCCTGGTTCTTCTTTCAGTTACTATGGGAGAAGCCTTCTTGTAACCAAGGGCAGATTTGGTCCCCAAACATCTATAAGGCAGAGAGAGGTTGGTTTGACTGATACAAATATTCACAGAACAAGCCTCAACAATCAAAGTTTCAATCTTCAAGTTTTGTGGCCCCCAGAAGTCCCGTGCAAACCTTCCACCGGGAGCGATCGTGACTGCAATGGGAGCTCTACCCACGAAGGGCTGGCTTTCTGTGTGGGAACTTGTGAGCCTGCTGTCCTTAAAGAAATTTAAGGGAAAATAAATTTGCCCACCTGATCCCAAGTCCACTGAAGTCAGTGGAAGGGCTCCCATTGCCTTCAATGGGTCTTGGAGGGTACTGGCGGGATGCTCTAAAAACCAGAACCCTCTACATTTAAACTCAACTCAAGCATTCCAAGCCTGCTGCTTTCCATGTGACAAAGGGCGAGCCATAGACAATGTTGCCACTTGTAGACAACTTGAAAGGGGCTAATGGGAGGTGTACTGCCAAGTCTGTGATTTACATAGAGTTTGGTATTTCTGCAGGTGCACTGTTCATCATTTCAGCACATCCTGTTGCTATGAAAAACACCAAAATGTCATTAACCACGGTGATGTGATATAGGAGGTCGACACGTTTTGCTGTTTAAATTTAGGCTCCCAGGGTCGGACTCTACATCCCTATAGTCTCAGTGAAGTCAGTGGTGCATAGATATAACTGAAGGCAGAATTTGGCCCTGAAGTTTCTAGGTGCAGCCATATCCAAGCACATTACATATACTAATGAATTTGTCCTCACAACACTCCAGGAGGAGGAGCAGCGCTATTATCCTCATCTTACAGATGGGGAGCTGAGATACAGAAAGGCTAAGTGACTTGCCCAAGGTCATGCAGGAAGTCTGTGTCAGGGCTTTGTGAGACATACACATTAGTTAATAGTCCTGGGTCAAAATTCTGCCCCCAGCTATGCCTGTGCATCCCCAATAGCAACTGCTGCAACCCACTTGAAGTCAGGCAGGTATATAAATTAATACAGCATTTGCCCCCCACTCTACCCCCCCTGGAGTTGTGTGGCTAAATCTTTACAATTGCTCCCAGTTGTTCAAACGTTCCCCTGGACATCCATTTTCCACGTGCAATCATGTTTTGCAGCGGTGAGACGGCATTTCATTAGATTACGTCCAGAAGGGCCTAGGTCTGAAAGTTTCATAACTGGAGCAGAGCTTCCCCAGACTTCTGGATTGTTTGGAAGAGAAATTTTGTCCTGACCCCTCTCTAGTGTTAAAGATACAATCTACACGGTCATATCCTTATCCAGCTGCCCAGCCAGCAACAAGAAGTACCAGTATCATTTGAATTTTTTTTTTAAATAAGATTCAAGGATATTTTGAAACTAAAAGTAGTTTTAATCTGAAAATCAACGTTTCCATTTTTTCCCCCAGAATTTTTGTTTCTTCCCTCCCCCCCAAAAAGAACAATTCAGTAAAACTGACAAATTCGTGAAATATTTCAGTGTGACTGAATTTGTATTTTTCACACACACACACACACTTTGGCCAAAAACTCACTCAGGGCCATATTCTGTCCTCAGTTACATCGAAGCAACATCATGGAAGACAGCCATTGAAAGGAAAGATGAGTTTGTGGTTGAGGTACTGAACTGGATTTCAAGAGCTATCAAACATTGGCTCTTCCACAAACTTTCTACGTGACCCTGGGCAAGTTTCTTCATCTCTGTGTGTCTCAGTTGCCCCTTTTAGAAGTTAAGCTACTATTACTTGCTTTCTCCTATCCTTTGTCTGTCTTGCCATTTGGAATGCAAGACCTCAGGGCAGGGACTGTTTTCTAGTGCGTTTATGTACAGCACCTGACCCAGTGGAGTTATGAACTTGGCATCATTGATAATATGATCTGAAATATGCAAGAGAGAAAAGTAAAGCTGCCTTGGATTATTCCCTGATATTTGCCTTGAGAGCCCAACACAGTCACAAGCTAGAAAATGAGGCTCACCATATGTCTTAACTTTATCTAGGTCATTTCCACAGATTTCAGTGGAAATCATGCAGGAATAGTGCCGTGTAATTCTTTCAGAATTCACCCTCTAAACAGTAACAATATGGTCCAAACATAACTTGTAATAGGATCTGGGAGGACATATTCAAGTGATCTTCTAGGGGAGACAACTAGGTGTCTCTGTACTAGCTTCACTCCTAGAAATTCACCAGAAAATAAGTCCTATTCCGTAGTCATAACCAGTATTGTGAAAGTGCCGGTGGGTCTTGGCAACATGGACACTAAATCAGGTCGACACAATATGTGATTAAGAAAATTCATTGCAAAGTCATCATCAATATTTGCAACTACCAGTCCTCTCTCTCCATCCTTTGTGGAGAGAGCTTCCTTTAACCCAGCACTGGAGAAGAAATGAAGACTCATGAATTTCACTAGGGTCCTTGTTTGCCAGGCCACTTTATTAACCCAGGAGTTGTTCAGATACTATGGCGGTGGACGCTGCTACAAAACATTAAGATAGTTAAAGACAGTGAGCCTAATCCTTCATGGCCTTGCACTTTGCGTAGCTGTTTGCACCTCCGCAGAATGAGTATGAAGAACAATCAGAGGGAGAATTCTGATTTAGCTATGTTTTACATAGCTGCATGCGACTCCACAAGGGCATCCGAGAATCAGACCCACCCTAGGGGAGTTGCAACTCAGTAAAAATCATTGGAGCAAGGACCTTCTTTTTGTGCTGTGTTTGTACAGCACCTAGCATAATGAGGTGCTGGTCCGTGACCAGGACTCCAGGGCACTACAGTAATAATTAATAGTCACCTGGTCCTTTATAGAACAGAACACCTTCACCAAAGGTCCACCCCACCCGGAGATGCATCATGCTACAATAGTCACTCTCCAACACGGTACAAATCCGTGTTCCCTGACCAGCTACTCACCAGTTAGAAACAACTCACTTCCTATAAAAGTTACATGAGGCAAAAAGATGCAGCAGTGGAATTACCACTCATGCCCTTGCTTGACTAATTATTTCAGCATCATTTGTTTTCATGACTCGTAGTAACTTGATGAGTTATCATGCATACCATTTACTGTTCAAAACACAGAGGCAACCTCTCTTGGACAAAGAGTAGCTGATTTCAAAGCATGTTAATCCAAACAGCATAATGTCCATCCTATGCCATGGTTTCAAATTTGTGAGTATTTGGATTTAGGAATCTTAAGGTGGGATTTTCAAAAGAAGCTAAGGAACTGGGTGCTTAAATCCCTTAGACTCCTTTGAACAATCCCAGACTTTGGTAAGTCCTGGGTCTGGGGAGAAGATAATTTGCCAATTAGTGGGCAACAAGTTAGGAAATTAAATATATACCCCTCTTACCTGCCTCCATAAGTTGACATTGCTGGCCAAAGACCTGTGAGAAAGTAACAGGGCCTGCAGCAGAGTTGGAGGTCACTGGTAAAGCATCCATGGCTCTCTTAGGGTCCTTCGTGTTAGTCATGTGACACAATCCAGAACCCTTGAAGAAGTTTCCTGTTCCCCCACGGTCCCAGATCGAGAACCTGGATGGATCGGAGAAGATGACCACCACCTGGGTAGGTAACTTGTTCTCAGTGCCCAAGGTTCTTCCCCTGCTTTTTCAAAGAAAGGACCACCACCACCTGCTGTTTTCACTCGGGTGTCATCTGTATTTGGAATGAGGCTAACCTTCTCTCTTCAGGAGCTGCTGTACCTGTTTTAACCAGTTCCAAGGGCCTCAGACATAAACCAGAGAGTTAAAAAAAAAGATAGGTATTAATTAACTCCCCCCCCCCTTCTTGGGGTGACTGCAGTAGTTGTAGGAAATGTGCAAGTTTCTCCCCAGAGCAGTCGTGTGCTCGTTCGACTTCAGTGTCTAATTGTGTGATTAGCTTGTCCGTGAGCTTTGGTACGTTTCCACGTGAGGACCGTGAAGGGAGTTTTCCCAGTGGTTTAGTAACTGGTCTTGCTAGGGGTATTAAGCCTTAATCATTTCAGTCTGCTAGGTGGACACGCGAAGATCCTTGCATCGACTCCTGGCTGCAAGATCCAGTGAGGTTTGTTACCAGGAAGATCTATCAGTCTGTCCAGCTTTTATGTCTGGACTTCACAGTCAGCAGGTGATCACAGAATGAAATAGTCTTTTCAGCTGATCAAGTCAGTGCCAGAACAGTGCTTCAGGGAACCTTCCACCTGCAGCAGTCTACGGAAGATGGTCTCCTTCCTCTCCAGGTGGTCTGATTGAATTTCTCTGTCTCCCTTCCTGAATCCAGTAGCAGTCTGCAGCAGGCAGTCTCTGCTGTCACGGATTGTATTGGCTCTTGGCGTTAGTCCCTGGTTAATTCCTTCACTACAGATCTGCCTCTCTCTTTTCCCCAGCCAAACAGGCAAGTGGGAGGAGATTGGAGCCAGCGTTAAATAACATTTCCTCTGACCTGCTGCAGTGTCCCCCCCTCTGTTCTGCGATGCAAAGGCTGTTCCTTGGAGTCATCCTGGAAGTGCTAACTCAGCCAGGCAGGAGAAAGCTGGTTGCTTTAACCCTCTCGTGCCCATCTGCAATTGTCAGGGATCGAAGTCCAAGAGAAAGGGGGAAAGATGGTGAGGGATGAGTTGTGTACACACGTATTTTTAACGCCGGCTGTTCTGTCATAATCAGGATGATAGCAGCTGCTGTCTCAATTATTTCAATGTAAAGTAGCAAGGAAGGCCATTTCCATGGAAAAGGGACCAAGTGTTAACTCCCAGCAGCATCTGCGACAGCGGATTCATCTTTATTTTTAAAATCCCATCTGGTGACGCAAAGGATGCTAACTTTAGAGAGCGCTGCATGATTTTATCCTTAGTGAGTCACAGGCGCCGTCTTTGGGAATTCTGTGGGGAAGAAGAACCGACAAATCAGGATGAAAACAAACACTGCAACCTAAGCAGGACTATGAAACGGTAACACATAGCATGACGGGCCAGGGTGGGCAGCGCACCTAAGTGTGCAAAAGGGCCTTAAAGTTGATGTCTGGCTGGTTCCCATGTGCTGTACGAGAAGAGCACAAGGGTTGGCTAACTTGCCTATCTAAGGCACTGAGATGGCCCCCCACTATTGTGTCTGAGCACCACAGTCTTTAATGCATTTATCCTCACAACATGCCCGGGAGGTTGGAAAGTATTTATGCCCATTTTACAGATGGGAACGGAGGCACAGAAAATAAGTGCCTGCTTACTGTCACACTGGAAATCTGTGTCAAAGCAAAGGAATTTAACCCAGTTTTCCCAAGTCCCAGCCCAATGCTATAGGGTTGCCAGGTGCTCAGTTTTTACGTCTGACCAGACAGCAAAAGTCCAGTTACCGCAGGATAGGGGAGGCACTGGGTCATCAACCCACACCAGCCCCTGCTAAGCTGGGGGCTGCCTCCTACCTACAGGCAGGCTCCTTGTCAGGCTGCAGTAGCTCCCATATCAGCCCTGAAGCAGAGCTTGGCTCGGGGGCGGCGGGAGGGGGGAGACACAGGTGCTGGAACTCGGGGTGCTGCCGCACACCCCTGGCTTGAAGTGGTTTCCATCTTATACAGGCTTTACAGTTCGGTTCAATGGCTCTCAGCACCCACACAGTACAAATTATTCTAGCATCCTGGTGGGGGTGGGGGAGGGAAGAAAGGTGGAGAGGCTCCAGTGAGCGATGGGGGGGCGCAGAGGAGCGAGCGATGCGGGCAGGGCTTTGGGGGTGAAGAGGTGGGGCAAGGCCTCAGGGGTTTGGTTACCAGCAATTAGAAAGGTGGCAACCCTATGCTCCAAGGAGAGGGGAGGCAGAGGGCTGGCACCCCCACGATGGAAATATTGTAAACTCATGCAGGCTCGGGGAGTGGGGAGCGTGGAAGTGAGAGTGAGAACCTGAGGGACTGGAATAGTCACTGCAGGATCTGGACAGGGAGCAACGGACCCGGAGGGGCTGGAGTGGGCCTGGAAGCAGGTAGAAACCCCCGGAACCTTCCTTTGCAGCCTGGAGACAGTGGCCCCCTTTGCCCTGTCCCCCCCCCCGACTCCAGAGGCTCAGTACCTCCCCTCTCTCCTGCCACCTCTTCCTGTCCCCTCGTCCCAGCACCATCCTCCCTGAGACAGCCACAAGCAGCTAAACCAGAGGTGGGCAAAGTACGGCCCATGGGCCACATCCAGCCCACGGGACCGTCCTGCCCGGCCCTTGAGCTCCCGACCAGGGAGACTAGCCCCCAGCCCCTCCCCTGCTGTCCCCCCTCCCCCGCAGCCTCAGCTCGCCGTACTGCCAGCGCTCTGGGCGGCGGGGCTGCGAGTTCCTGCCAGGCAGCGTGGCTGTGAGAGCCGGCGGCCTGCCCCAGTGCTCTAGACTGCGCCACGGTGTGGCTGGCTCCGGCCGGGCAGCATGGCTGCCAGTCCTGGTGCTCTGAGCGGCATGGTAAGGGGGCAGGGAGCAGGGGGGTTGGATAAGGGGCAGGGGGTCCCAGACAGTCAGGGGACAGGGGGGATTGGATAGGGGTTGGGGCTCGAGGGGGGCAGTTAGGGGCAGGGGGGTTTCAGGAGGGGGCGGTCAGGGGACAAGGAGCAAGGGGGGGTTGGATGGGTTGAGGGTTCTGAGGGGGGCAGATAGGGGGCAGATAGGGGGCATGAGCCAGGCTGTTTGGGGAGGCACAGCCTTCCCTACCCATCCCTCCATACAGTTTTGGAACCCCGATGTGGCCCTCAGGCCAAAAAGTTTGCCCACCCCGAGCTAAACAGAGCCATGGATCAAAGGTACACATCCAATTCTGCCAGCTATGCTCCCTTTTCCCTGCTAGGCCAGAAACTGGCAGACTGAGACGAGTGGTTGAAGAGCCTCTTGGCTGGCTCTGTGCTAGGTAAGGCTAAAGGCTCCCTGTTACACTGGGGTGATCCTCCCCGAGGCGGTTCAAACGGCATGTTTTGCCCAGTTTGAATTAACTTATGGCGAAACCCCAACAAAGGGCCTATTGCTTGACATGGTTAGAAACACTACAAACTTCGGGCCAAATTCCGTTCTCTGGTGTGAGTGCACCTCCCTCTCCCCGCCCGCACTGCAAGGAGGAGAGCAGAATTTGGCCTGTTTACTACAGTTGCCTTAGTCAGTGTGGCAATTTATTACAGCTCCCCCACAAATAAAATAGATTCTTTTCCCACCATTTTTCACAGCAGCACACAGCCTAAGGATTCAGGGTGGTGGCAGGGGGTAGTTGGCGGAGATGATCCGTCCATACACACCCATTTCGTTTGAACGCATTTCTATAAAGTGAGCAACTTGTTCCTTTCAACCCGAGTGCCTAGTTTACATTTTCCAGGCAATCTTCACAAGGACCAGGGCTACAGACGTAATATATTTGTAATGCCTCACTCATCCATCACCCTCAACGTGCTTTAGAAAGAAGGCAACTAGCCTTGTCCACATCTCGCATATGGGGAAACCTAGGCACAGAGAGAGAAGTGACTGTCACAAGGTCAACAAATAAGCAAGCAACAGAGTCAGGAATAGAACTTCACGTTCCCCAGTGCCAGGACCCAGCCCTACCTACTAGACTACGCTGCCTTCCTAAAAATGAAACCAGAGTCCTCTTACCATTTCTAGTTCCTCCGGGGAAAAAGGGCCCCTCACTACAGGTTTCATAGGGCCGGGGAGGCCAGCGGTGTCTCTGAGTTGGATTATGGGAGAAATTAGCATTGGGACAGACGACTGTCCTGGAGTCAAGGTAGCTCCCATACCCCTGCCTAGTATGTTTTTGCTGCTGGAATATTTGGGGCTGCAGTAATGTGATTTCTGGTCAGGTCCCCCGTGTTCCAGTCAATACCAGAGATGGACTAAAGGTGGTTTGCAAGAGTTGAAATACAGCTGAACATGGGCTGCGAGTGTTTTAATAATCACTTTGCTTGGCATGAACCCTTCTTCCATAGTAGAACATTATAGGCTGAACAAGAGAAGAGCCTGAAGCAAAACCTTGTCTTCAAACTGCAACAGGCCACCACCGGAGCACCTCCTTGTGGCCTAAGGTCACTGTGCAGGCACCCTGCCTCAGTTACCCTTTTGGGGTTCCTCAAGAACGCCACATTGCAGCACAACGGTAATTAAAACGTTCCCCTGCTGGGGTCTAGTTGATTTAGTCCCTACACACACTGATCCTCTAAACTCCAACCTCACGCCCACGTCTCTCTCCTTGAACCAGAACAAACCCCCAGCCCTCCTTCCTGGAGCTGGGTTCAGTCCCTTTCCTCCCTGCAGGAGCCAATTGGGCTCGGTGCTCTCCCGCAGCCTGCTGCTCTTTGCAGCTTCTCAGAAGAATGGCCAGACTGGGTCAGACCAATGGTCCATTTGGCCACTCTCCTGTCCTCCGACAGTGGCCAAGTGCCAGGTGCTTCAGAGGGAACAAACAGAACAGGTAATTCTCAAGTGATCCATCCATCCCCTGTCATCCACTCCCAGCTTCTGGCAGTCAGGGGGTTAGGGACACAAGGAGT